CCAAAATAATAAATATTATTATTTGAAATTTTGGTAGTATATTAACAACATCTATCTATTTCACATATATCCCAGGTTTTTCACCCTGACCCCCAGGGGCTGTAAATGTTGGGAAAACAGGAATTTGCGTTAATTTTGTGATGTTTTTGAAGTATAGCTTTATTATACTCAAATGAAAGGCAATTTAGAGTAGATTGCAATTATTGTAGAGTTTTTCTGATTCGGGCCTAAAAAATTCAAAATGGCCGCCTAATGCGGGATTTCACAATTATTTTCTGATCTCTTAAAAGTATGGCTATATTATACTCAAATTGAAGGAATTTCAGAGTAGATCACAATTATGGCATTGTTTTTCTGATTTGCGCCTCTGAAAATTCAAAATGGCTGACTAGAGCAGAAATTCGCCATTACTTGAGTTATCTTGAAAGTATGGTTATATGATACTACAATGATTTAAAATATTTATTGAAGGTAAGAGTAGATGGTCAATATTACATTGTGACTGTACAGATTGATGATTTCTATAGTGTTCGTTGGGATTTGCTACTCCGTGGAGTTGCCATTTTCTAGTTGTTATTGTCCATGTATATTGTGTATGTATTTGGCCACTGTAGCTCTGAATTGATTCACCAGTAGAATACAGACATGTCAAGAAGGACCTTGCAATTCAAGTCACTATGGGCCTCTATGGTGTAATATTGAGCTTTATGTTAAACGCAAATGCATTTCAAATAACAACAATAACTAAGTTTTTATAATTTTTATTTCTCAAGGGAAGTCATGATTTACATTTTGTCATTGGTAATGTCTAAATTATAACAGATGTGATTATTAGTAGATTCCTTAAACACATCATAAAGTGTTACCTATAAATCTCAAGGTTTATCTAAATTAGTAAGAAGTGAAATTGATTGATGAGGTCAATGAATCTCCATCAATATTCTTGCCTCCCTTAATGCAGTTGCCCCTGTTAATGCCCTTGCCTCCCTTAATGCCCTTGCCTCCATTAATGCCCTTGACCCCATTGGTACCCTTTGATACCCTTGCCTCTATAAATGTCCTTCTCTCAATCAATGTCATTTCCTCAATTGATATTCTTGCTTCCACCAATGCCCTTTATTACCTCTTGTCTAAAAGTGTCATTGCCTCCATCAATAGTCTTGCCTCAATCAATGTAATTTCCTCTATCTATGTTCTTGCCTCAATCAATGTAATTTCCTCTATCTATGTTCCTACCTCAATCAATATAATTTCCTCTATCTATGTTTGTGCCTCAATCAATATAATTTCCTCTATCTATGTTCTTGCCTCAATCAATATAATTCCCTCTATCTATGTTCCTCCCTCAATCAATGTAATTTCCTCTATCTATGTTCTTGCCTCAATCAATATAATTTCCTCTATCTATGTTCTTGCCTCAGTCAATATAATTTCCTCTTTCTGTGTTCTTGCCTCAATCAATATAATTTCCTCTATCTATGTTTGTGCCTCAATCAATGTAATTTCCTCTATCTATGTTCCTACCTCAATCAATATAATTTCCTCTATCTATGTTCTTGCCTCAATCAATATAATTTCCTCTATCTATGTTTGTGCCTCAATCAATGTAATTTCCTCTATCTATGTTCCTACCTCAATTAATATAATTTCCTCTATCTATGTTCCTACCTCAATCAATGTAATTTCCTCTATCTATGATCTTGCCTCAATGAATGTAATTTGCTCTATCTATGATCTTGCCTCAATGAATGTAATTTCCTCTATCTATGTTCTTGCCTCAATCAATATAATTTCCTCTATCTATGTTCCTACCTCAATCAATGTAATTTCCTCTATCTATGATCTTGCCTCAATGAATGTAATTTGCTCTATCTATGATCTTTCCTCAATCAATTTTCTTGTTGTTATCAATGTCATCTGGAAGAGAGTTGATCTTGATCATCTAATAGATGGATTTACAAATTCGATAACCTCATTTTACTTCTTTTAAATTGATTAGGACTTCAATTTGTCTTCATGAAGCTAACTATTATCTTTACTTTGGCACATATGCCCCTTTAACAATATTATTCACTTTATGCTTCATTAATCTTCTCTCCAAGAAACCTAAATCTTAGATGTAATGTAATTAGGTGTTCTATCTTTAGATTATTGCCAATTTGGGGAAATGATTTTTGAAAGTGCATTGGTTTAACCTTGGCCTTTGCTTGCCGCTATCGAGGGCTTTAATAACAGGCCTGTCAAGTGTCCCGCAATTTGCGTATTTGTCACGCATTTGCTGAAGAATTTGAAGTCACGCCAGTTATTTTTGCGTGACAGAAAATGTCACGCAAATACGCATTTTACCTGGTAATTGTCAAGCAAAAATATTTCTGTAGTAGTACGCATTTCGTTCGGACTTTTCACGCCAATTACGTATATGTCACGCATTCCGTTCGAAATTTTTCGTACCTATTTTGAGGAGAGGTGTTCAACATTTCCAAGTCACTCATGTTAGGTGTTCCCAAGTTGACAGGCCTGTAATAAGTTAAATACAACTTGGTCTGGCTTAAATAGGGATTGGCTCCTAGGTTCCCAACCAGAAAATCAGTGATGTCCCATTTTAATTGCTCATATAATATCTTACATTTATTCCATAATACTACTGTTTTCCCAGGGAAATATGAAGGAATAAAAATCGTATTGAATCGTATTACATGAAAAAATCGTATTGTCCCCAGGAAAAAATCGTATTGGAGTGTATTACATAAAAAAATCGTATTGTCCCCAGGAAAAAGTCGTATTGGAGCGTATTAACCTATTTTGGGTTTCCCGGTTATTTTTAACCTTGCCTAATTGATAAAATAAATATGGGTTTTATTCCTCGGAAAATATTATATTGACATTGGGCAATATGATATTGACCAAGGGAGTGCAAACAATGTGAATTTATTAATATAATGTTTGCATTATCCAAATGTAACATTTTAGAGGGATGTATTATGGAATAAATAGGTTATTTCTGGTCGGAATTGAATATGGGTTTTATTCCTCGGAAAATATGATATTGACCATGGGCAATATTATATTGACACTCGGTTGCTGCGCTCCCTCGGTCAATATCATATTACCCTTCGGTCAATATCATATTATCCCTCAGAATAAAACCCATATTCAATCCCCCCCAGTAAATAACCTATATATCTTAGATATATTTTGAGACCACATTATGGGCACAGTATACTGATATATTGAGAAAACAGAACAACCAAGGATTGAACTCTAAATTGATTGAATTCTAAAGTAACATACAATAGTTTTATCCATATTTTAAAATCATTGGAAGTAATAAATATGACTTTGTCATGCAGAAAGGTATCAAGAAAATGTATTCTGGTTCAAAAAGTTCTGTAAACAATTAATGAATGAAATTGATGAGTCAGTATCTTACAGTTGGTCTGTAGATGAATGGAACTGTTTTACATCCCCCAATACAAAAATATCAGGGGGATTCTATAATTGTGTTCCTATGAGACAATACCTCTTTAACAACAACTTGTTTTTTTTTAATATGATTATGTGGTCATTCAGTGCAGCATATTATCCTATTTCTCGGACTGGAGAAGTTGATTAGCCACTCAGCCTAAGAGGTGTCCTTATTCCCTCAGGAGATTGTTATTGCAATTTTGTGAAATCATGATAAAAGCAATAATGTTTATACGATGAAAAGCAAGCATGGATGCTTTGTGCATTACAATGTCACATATTATTCAAATGTATGATATTGCCACATGGGCAAGTGTTGATCCTTGTACATTGTCATATAAAATGCATTATAACCTTGGGCGTAACAAAGGGGTGCCATTTCTTTTTTGTGGGGGTCCCCCACCCCCACTAAAAAGAAAAAAAGCAATTTTGTAAAACTTAGAATGTACCATACAAATTTAAAAAATGTCTAGGGGTGAACTCCCGTACCCCACGCCCCCTCTTTTTGGGACTTGCTTCACCCGCACTGATGTAAACCCTAAAAATCGCAACCCCCTTGACAATTCCTGGCTTCTCCCCTGATAACCCATGCACAATGCATTGCTGTGTAGACCGCAATGGATTGTTATTTGTACCAGGATCCTCTTCTAGATTACCACGAGGCAATTGTCAAATACACCCTGATTAATTTCTATGATACATTGCAGTGGCGTACCAGAAAGAAGAAGTGACGAGGCGAAAAAATATTTCTAAATCTATTGAAAAGCAATGAGGCAAAATCTGTCTCAGCCTGGTTAACACTCCTTACATGTGACTCTATTGTGGAAAAATCGTCTTGTGGGAAACATTTCTATCATTTAGATTCCAGGAACTTCATTGATAAAGAATATTTCTCAAAGGATGTTAAAAGAGCAATGAGGCATTGCCTCATCCTGGCTATACTATACACCCATGGTGTATTATTTAACATGCTATGATATTTTCATGATGCTGTGTATCGTTTTGTGATATCCCCATAGTGCGTGCATTGTAAAGCTATATATGGTATTGCCATGATATTATATTACAACATTGTGAGATATTTCCATGATGCACTGTTACATTGTGGAATATTCCCATGATGCATTGTTATACTTTATGATATTCCTATGATGCATTGTTATACTGTATGATATTCCCATGATGCATTGTTAGATATTCCCATGATGCATTGTTAATGTGTATGATATTCCTGTGATGCATTGTTACACTTTATGATATTCCTACTATGCATTGTTACATTGTTAGATATTCCCGTAATGCATTGTTAAAGTGTATGATATTCCCATGATGCATTGTTACAGTATATGATATTCCCATGATGCATTGTTACAGTATATGATATTCCCATGATGCATTGTTACAGTATATGATATTCCCACGATCCATTGTTATATAATAAATGATGCATGATGTATTGTTTCAAACAGAAGCTTGTTCAAATATTTCAATAGAGAACTCATTATCAAACTGGTGTTATTTCATCTTTTCTTCAGGTTTTACATCAACAACAGTCCCCATGTATGTCGCAGAAGTGTCTCCAGCTTCTATTAGAGGGCGCTTGGTATCAAGTAATGTAGTGTTAATTGCTGGGGGTCAGTTTGCAGCCAATGTAGTTGCAGGAATCTTCAGTTTCGACAAACAGAATGGTTGGAGGTAAAGTTTATACTCACTGTATTTCCCAGTTCTTTACTTTTACCTCCCTCTTGCATTATACTTAACAATTTGTCATTGCTATTTATTAGTATTTCTGAACTGCCAATAGATGGGGCTTACATGCCTAATGAAATATTACATGTAACAGTAAAAATATATTGATGAAAACCACTTGTTATATTGCATCTAACATTGTATGTTCTTAGAACATGTAATTACACAAAATATCTAATTTAAGTTCCAAGATCTTGTATTTTCTTATATTGGAGAAATACATAGATGTTATACATTAATCAGATGAATGAGAACTACAAATGAACTACAATAATACAACGTATAATGCTAAAAAATATTGGGCACTGACATTTAGAAATAATTCAACTAATGAGTGTTATTTGGAAAGCTATAATTGGAGCAAGGCCTTAGTAGTAAATTTCAGTAATATCCCTTGCATTAAGCAGTGATACTGCACCCAGTTAAGAATTAGGTAATTACCTTGTACCAAGCTGCAAATCTGTTTGCACCCAATTGATAATTAAGAAAATCAGGAAAATTTTCAGTCAGAATTTCTGAGTATTTATGAATAGAAGTGGTAATGAAAAATTCGAACCATACCTAGACATATTACAATGATAATGCAATCTCTTGGAAAGTTTCATGTTTAAATTGCGTCAATTTCCTGCAAAATCTCATTACAATGAGTAAGTCCAATTTTAGTACATAATAGCCTGATAATATCAATTGAAAACAGACATCTTTTATCAAATTGCATGTATGTGCTATTAGACTATAAGGTCATTATATTTTTGGTCTCTGTATCATAAATTCAACCAACTCAATGATTCTTGATACAGCAAATAAAAATTCCTGGTTTTCTTAAGATATACTGTATGTAGGACACTTACTTTTCTAATTTAAAGAATTCTTTTTTTTTAATATTATTTTGAGAATAATCATGAATGCATCTTTCTGATTTGCATTAACAAAAGTATGTGACGGTAGTGAATAATAATGTGGATTTCTTCAAGTGAAACAATTTATAAACTGATATTTAGAACAAACTTCATAAAGTATCTGTAAATCACTAATAATGTAAATAAAAGGACAGAGACCTATATTCATTTAAATATAGATAATTAAATGTCTTTTAATTATTACAGGACTAAGCTTGTATTCGCGAATGCAAAAAGTGACTTATGGCCACCTTAGAGCAAATGTGACTAAGGCTTTAGACAGGTATCTTCATGGTCATAAATACAAATGGCAGATTACATCTGAACTGCAATTAAAACCCTGGAACTCTTACAGTCAAGGAATATACTTATACAACTAAGCTGGTCAGACATACTGACACCTTAAGTCATTCTTAGGATAGAATTACATATGAAATATCATAAATAAGTCAATATGCTTATTGGGTGTACATAAATCAGTAATAAATAAAAAATGAATATTTGTTTAACAATCCAAATGGGAGTATGAAGCATGCATATTATAGCAGGGAACTGGCAAATATTTCAAATAATGTGTCAGTCTCGTGCCAGGAATGTCCGTAAAGGATTAAGGTGCATGTAATTTAAGGGCTGCTTTCTTTGCTTACCAGACTAGGTATACATCAGTAAATTAAATACATTCTCTAATCAAACGATACAATAAATCACTTTGACTTTGAATCTAGACTCTTTGATAATATTTAATTACACCCATTTATCAAAGTTCTGCAAATGAAGTTCAATCATTATGAGATTGTGCAAAGCTGTCACATTGGAGCTGTAATTAATTATTTGTTTAAAAGGTAACTTACATGAAAACAGTTCTTGAACACCTCACATCATTGAACACATTCTTGAACACATCAAATCATGTAAATATTAGACTTCAGTGTTCTCCCCAAAAAGAAATTTCAACTGGGTGCAAGTTTCCAAGTCAGAAAAAATCAGTGCTTGGTACGCTCACAATATCTCCAGATGGGTGCTTACTTCACTCATTTTTCAAATCAGAAGTTGAAGTGCAGGTTGCCAACTGGGTGCCAACTGGGGGGTCTTTTTTTCAAGTAGGGCCCCCCCCCCCGGTAAAAGTGACATGGGGAGATCAGTGGACTTAAAGTGCCTGATAAACTATAAAATGCGCATGCGTCTAGGTGTTGATAAACTATAAATAGCGAAAACCCAGGGTTTGTCATCACAAGGTAAGCCAGGACGTGTTGAGCGAACATCTAGTGTTGATATTGAATTTACATGTAGCCAGATAAGTTTCCTTATTGAAATTCCATATAGTTATTAGCAATACTTTGTAGGTGATAATTAATAAAATATGAGTATATATGAGAGAAATTGGCCATTTCGAATCTGTTGAAAGTTCGTGGCTCTCGTCTACACCGGGGAATTTACTTCCATGAGTACAGACACAAATGTGGGGCTCCCCAAGAGGTACGCGAGAAGGTGACCTGGCATCAAATGTACGACTAAATGCTTCTATCGAGTAGATAAAAGAACGAATACGACAACAAGTTATTGCAAACGACAATTCCGAGCATTCATCTCACTGAAGTATACTCATCAAAAAAAGTTAAGGACCAGTGGTTTTCCTCATAGGTTTACATGTTAACCCCCATATTTGTTTGAACGACTATTTTCTAAGCGTGGAACAAAAGAAATCCTAATAAAGTAAATAAATCTGTATCTTGATTCTATTCTCTATAAAGTCCGCACCATTTCAATGTTATATCTCCATTACATTGGTCAAAATTTGATGTCAAAATTGATGAATTTCATGAAATCTAACAAAAATGGCAGACCCCATGTTAAACAAATGGGGAATGGTGGCTTAGGGGCAACTCAAATTTTGGGATATCTATTCAGTGGAATATTTGTTGAAAAAACTTTCTGAGTAGAAAATCGAATGGTTTTACATGTTACATGCTAAATGTCTAGCTTATAATGGTAAAATTAGCGATATAGAGTAATCTTGACCACCTCACTGACCACCTGTGTTATTTCAATAAGAGGATCCTTAAAAGAATTACTTAATTTGAAACCATAAACTTTTGTAATACCTGGAAAATTAAATCATATTTTTGTCCAGTGGACAATATAGAAAATTTAATGGTCTCTTAAAATTCTAATTTTGAAAGCAATCGGTTGGATGGATCGTTCATCATGACTTATGGAAACCCAACCATTCCCCATTTGTTTAACATGGGATCTGCCATTTTTTTAAATTTCACGAAATTCATCAATTTTGACATCAAATTTTGACCCAATGTAATGGTGATATAACATTGAAATGTTGCGGACTTTATAAGGAACAGAATCAAGATACAGATTTATTTTCTTTATTGGGATTTCTTTTGTTCCACGCTAAGAAAATAGTCGTTCAAACAAATATGGGGGTTAACATGTAAACCTATGAGGAAAACCACTGGTCCTTAACTTTTTTTGATGAGTATATTTTGAAGTGAAGAAAATATGATTTTTGTTTTGAAACATGGATTCAGATGAACGTAACTTCATTCTGACAACTAATCAAAACTGAACAAAATTGATTATACGTAACAGACGATTTATTGTTTTACAATGTTTTGATCGGCTAAACGAATGAAACCAAGAAATTATGACATGTAGAATGGCAATTTTGAAATGTAAAATTTAAAAGTGACAAACACAACCTCCCTATCCACTCTTTATGAGCCCTAATATGTACATGCAGCAGTGGTAGTGTACAGCTTATTATCACACTACTGGGCTTTGTATTCTAAAGCTTGTTGTTTTTAATAACACTGTTCACTCGACGTAAATGTTTTGTGTGTGCGCAGTCAACGATAATCATTGTTTTATCCCGGTTATATGACCTCGGCAATTATAACAAAACCGTACTAAACGAAAAAACGCAAATAAGAGAAAGCTTTCACACACATATAAAAAGTGAACTAGTCTAATCCGCCAGTATAAACTCTGTTATATACGTAGCCAGGTCGGGCGCACACTTTAATGTCTCATCTATGAATGCAAATCTTGCATGAACACCCTAAAGTGCAAATCTTTTGTTAACACCTTAACATCTCATCTATAAATGCAAATCATGTGTGAACACATTAAGTCTCATCTATAAATGCAAATCATGTGTGAGGACCCTCATCCAGGAACACAAATCTTGCATATATACTCAATTGCTGATTGACTCCAAATATTCAGTTCAGCTTTAAATGTCATCATACTGTACTTACCTTGAACCACATCCCTTAGGACTATAGTAATCATGTCAAAGTGATCCATTCAGATTTAATTTTCATCTGAAAAGAAATATCAATCAGAATTAGCAATCTGGAGAAACTGTAGCAATTTGTAGATATTGTGTTATGCATTTCTAATTTCGCATCATCTATAATACATTGGAACAGAAATAAAAAAAAACTTGAAATTATTTTGCATAATTTTGAAACAGTTGATATATTGTAAATAATAGGCAACTTTTGAAAACACCTAAATGATACAATAAATCATGTCAAGTATTCTTGCTCAAGCCCTTGTAACAGTTGTTAAATAAGATAGTCCAGGTTCTTGAAACAAGACTACTTGTCAATTAAGGAAGCACCTATTGAACTTCTTTTATGTACCACTTGGGACATATTGCAGTAATAAGGATATTGATTATCATATGAGAAAGAATTATTACTTATATGAGCTCAGTATCATTGCATTAATCAAAGTTAACCTAGATAGATAATGATAACAAAGTATTAATCCATTATCTATTGCTGTAGAACCTGGTGCTGCCATGATTTTCTCATGTTTGATTTTGGTGAATGGCTCCTGATTTCCCATATCATGTGATCTAGGTTTGACCAATCGTAGCAATATTTTTTATATTGTCATGTCAATGCTAGATTAGTATATATTACCATGTGTTCAGATATACATGCACCGCAACATATTTTACACCTTCAAAACAAATAAATGTCTTGTCACCAAAATTCCAGGGAAACCGCTTAGCCATTCAAC